ATGTGGGTCAATGAACACTTTTCCCACAAACCAAGTCCCTGGATTCCTAACAAATTAACAGAATGACACCATTAGTACACAGTCTGATGTAGCTACAGTTTTCATAACGCATCAGACAGAGCACTAATTTAGTCATTATACAAAAATATCAAATTTTCTTTTTCTATCTTCTTTAATATGCACGAATACCTCATATATCCAATGGTGGAGGGTTAAAAGCTAAAACTTATTTCTGGACATGGCCCAGACTTCCTCAATTTTAATTATTCTCTAATAAATCCTCTTATAATGAATGACACACTTCCCCATCTCTTATAGTTTGTATCTGGATATCCCTCCCAAAGCCTCGTGCTCAGAGACAGGGGTGTGGAAGGTGACTGGGTTATGAGGTACACCGCTAGATTGGTGCTGGGAAGCAGAGTTTAATCTCCCTCCCTGCTGTTCCTTTCCCTCTCTGCTTCCTGGCTGCCGTGAAGTAAGCAGCTTTCCTCCGCCAGTCTCTTCCATCGGGCTGCTTTTGCCTTGAGCTCTTTGACGGTGCACAGACTGAAACTACTGAAATGTGAGCTAAAGTTAACCTTTTCCTCCTTTAAATTGTGGGTGTTAGGTATTGTGTCTCAGTGACGAGGAAAGTGAATAAGACAGCACCCTAACAATCAGACTGTCAAACACAATTTAACATGATGCTCTTCTCTTTCAGAAAACATACACAGATTTTAATGAAGGAGTCCTCCCACCAGGAGGACAGAGGAGCCTCTAGATGCCTGTCCATCATTGCTACGGGCCAATTACAACTATGTATCTCTCACGCTTCTGAATGAAAATTTTTATTACAATACTAATTCACTACAGGGAGGCCAGGGGAATGGGGAAAAAATAAGAACCAAGATACATCATGTAAAGGTACAAGATCTCAATGATGGATGTAACTATTGTAGACCTAAAATGTGCCAAAAGAAAAAAAATACTAATTCACTACAGTATTGGGCAGAAACTCCTCAAAAACATTTTGGCAGAACTAGAAGAAGGAAATAATCTATAGATTCATAGATAGATAGATAGATAGATAGATAGATAGATAGATAGATAGATAGATAGATATAGATAGATAGATAGATGATAGATAGAGATATAGATATATATCTACCTACCAAAAGAAGCTGAGAATGGGCAGAATCATATGGGAAAAAAGTAGAGAGAGGAAGACAGAGAATGATGAAAAGCCCATCACAGAAAAATTTTAGAAAGTATCAGCAAATATGAAGGTGAGGGCCTCATCTTGAACCTTAGAAGAGATATTCTTATTTGAAGCAAATGTGAAATTTAGGGTGAAGTGGAATAGTAGAAGCTACCCTAAATTTGATCTCATTCAGAAAACAGAAAGAGGCAAAATTCTGTAGAGAATAAAACAGAAAGACCATACTTTCATGAAGTGTTCTATGAAGGTAAAGCTTAATTTTCAACTTGATTGACTTAGGAGTCACCTAGGGGATTAGTAAAGCACACTTCTAAGTGTGTCTGGATGGTCATATAGGCACGGTCTTGGGGTCTATATCTGGTCCCTCACCCCTTCCTCTCTGGCACTGTTCCCCTGCTAAGCTTTACTTCAGCACAAATTTCTACCATGATATCCCTCCCTTAAAGCCATCTGACCATGGACCAAATCCTTTGAAACCATGAGTCAAATATGAAAAGCTGACTAATACACACTCTGTCTCAGAAACATGCAGCAAATATAAAGAAAGCCTTGGAAGGTGCTCTCTGAGGAGTCCCTCATCGTCTCCTCCAGCCCCACAATCACATGAGACAAGTAGCTGGTCCAGGAATACTCAGTTGGTTTGAGGTCAAATATTTTTTTGAAAAGCTGGCTCATCATAAATATAAAAGTGCCATAAGAAAAATTGTGAAAAGAGTAGCAAAACTTACCAAAGGAAGAAAGACCCCAGAAAAATTTTGCTGGAATGAGACAAAAATTATGGCTGACTATGAAACTATCACTTCTAATAATCTTCAGAAAGAGGTATAGCTGGGTCAAATGAAATTTCTATTTTTAATTTTCTGAGGAATCTCCATGTTGACTTTCATTGTGGTTGTACTAGGTTACATTCCCAACTGCTAATATAGAAAGGTTTCTTTTTCCCCACATTCTTCATCAGCATTTGTTGTTTGCTCATATTCTTGATGATAGCCATTCACATTGGAGTTAGACGGAATTTCAGAGCTGTTTTTTATGTTTTCCTAGTGGCTAGAGACGTGAACATTTTTTCATGTATTTATTGGCCATTTGTACTTCTCACAAGTGTCTTATTTATTTCATTTGTCCATTTTTTTATTGGGTCTTTTAATTTTTTACCAAGCGTTTAAGACATCACACTATAATGATACATGCATATCCATGTTAACAGCAACACAATTCACAATAACTAAACTATGGAAACAAAGAAACTCAAAATACAAATAAATTAAAGAATAAAATAAAGGAAAGTTGGTAGGAAACAGGGAAGGTATACTTTTTCGAAACAGAGAAAGGGATCCAGGGAAGGAGGAAGTGGAAAATGGAAAATGATCAAGATATTATATATTTTCCAAAGAAAATGTAATTTTTATGTTTCAGATATATCAATACAAAAGAATCTTCACAGAGAAACGACAAAGAAGAAAGGAGAGATACAGTGCGATAAGGAGTGGGGAGGGAATGTGGGCTAATAAATTCAGGAAAGACTGCCTGGCGTGGTAGCTCATTCCTATAATCTCAGCACTCGGGAAGATGAGGCAGGTGAATCACCTCAAGTTTGAGGCAAGCATGGGCCACTTAGTGAGTTCAAGGACAGCTTGAACTATACAGTGAGACTCTGTCTAAAAAAAAAATCAAGAAAGAATTAGAAAGAGGGGGGAATCCCCTAATGTCATCAAAATAAACACAAAATTAAAAGGAGCACATAACAGAGCAGTCACTGTGAAACATACACTCACACAAAGGAGATAAAATCAACCAAATGAAAAAGAAGTAAAGGAGAAATGATAGCATTGAAGTCAGGCATAAAGTTATGGTACCTAATTAGTTGGAGTCCCCTGAATAATAAAACAAAACCACACAGTAGAAAAAATAATAAATGATCCAGAAAGAAGGGGAAAAGATGCGAGGAAAGTGGATGAAAAAAGGAATTAAGATGTGTTATGTGTATGCACCAACTCCCCACAAGTACTATAACATTATGTACTGAAAACATGTACTAATAAAAAAACTAGTAGTGTTCTATAAAGAAATAATCTTTTAAAGAGCTAAACAAAAAGATCAAGATCCTGCTAAAAAGAAAGAAAAAAACAGTAGGATTGGCATCAGGCTTCTCCATAGCAGCAGAAATATCAGACAACAGTGAAAAAAACCCAGAGGACGCAGCAGAAAGAAAATGTGAGTCAGTGAAAGGGATTTCATTCCCCTCAAACTGTCTAAGAGTAAGGCCGCCATTTTGAACAATGGAAGAGCCCAAGAATATTGGGTCTCTGAACCATTCTTCTTCTCATTCTCTTTCTCCTTCTCCTCTTACTCTTCCTTCTCTTTCTTCTTTTTGAGACAAGGTCTCATGTTACACAGGCTGGCCTCCTGAGTGGCATGGATCTCAGGCCTGGGCCACAACACCCAGCTCCCTGAGCCACTCCTAAGACAAACTACTTCACGATGACTTTTGGCCAAGCCTGTGGTGATGAAGAGAATGGCAAAAGGCCTATAAGTGAACATTGACAATATTTAACCATAACACTGTGATTGAAGCAAATGTGAGTATGGGTAAGACTACAGAACATAAATCATTTACCCTGATGTTATATGGAAAATGGTACAATGAGCAATAGTTAGTGTGTGATGGGAAAGGAAGTTGAGAGGCTGAGTAAGTTCACTGACTGCATTCTATGAGTCAGCTAAGAGCCAAGAGTTATCATCAAAAGCTGGCAAGTCATTTAAGTAAAATATATGCATATTTAAGCATTTGTAAGTAAACATTTAAAACACGAGACAACCAAAATTGTGTGATGGAGGAGACAGAGAAGGGTTGTTATCTCCCATAATAGAGATCCATTCCATACTAGTTAATGAGTAGAACACTAAGGTTACTGTAGCCTATTGTAATAATAAAACTAGTTGCTAAGTAAAAAATGCAAAACTCCCCAGTATCCATATATACACACACATCCATGAATAAAATAAGACAAAAATTGGTGCAGGAAAGAAGTAGTTGTAGTTCGCCATCAGACCTGCTGCAGAGCAGTTACTTAATTGTCCACCTGCAGTGAACGTTCAGATTTTACCTAATGAAACTGTATTGGAAGACAGGAAAACAGGAAGAGGGGCTGTCTGCAGTGTGGTGGGAAAAAACAAAGAGACCTAACTCCTCTGCTTTCACAATCAGAAGTTAAGAAATAATTCCTAAAACCAAATATTCCAGATGTGGCAATACAAGTGTGATATTTGAAGATTAGATGGATGGATGATGGACGCTAATGAAAAATTAATAAATAAAATAATCAAGTAAGAGATAAAATGCATGTGTCTCTGAGGAGTTGAAAAAAAAAACAGGAGAGGGCAGAATGCTGTTTCCCATAACGAACTTTGAAGAACATTTTTGTTCTATCACGTACCACCTGTAATGAGCAATACAATCTTTAAGAAAGAATTTGACCTCAACGGAGCAATCTGAATTCAACTGACCCATTCATCTTTTCCACTCTAGCCTTTTCAATGAGTTCCTTCAGATTAAATGCTCCCTGGTCTTTGATTATGAAAAGAAATTCTCCATTTGTCTTTGCCTTTTATTGAAAGCCCCCACAACAATGGTACTCATGGACAGTGTTTCAGAAGCCTCCTTTCAGCCTCACACTTCCACACATTCTGTGGGGACAAAATGCTGACTAGGACTCGGGTGGCCTGCAGAGGAAAAGACATGAGCAAGTGATCAGGCCACAACACCCAGCTCCCTGAGCCATTCCTAAGACAAACTACCTACCTATAGTGGTGATGACCGTTCCAGCAAAGAAAAAGGCACTTCCAAGGTCCCAGTGACTGCTGCTGTTGGAAGAGTTTCCTATTGGACTGACTCCTGCGTTGTCAGCATCAAGGGCATGCTGCAAAGGAAGGGAAAAGCACAAGATTCCGTTTAATTTTTTTTTTAAGCTTCCAATAAATTACTGCCCTCTTCAAGAACCTGCAGTGATCCAAAGATAACTGGTTAAATGGGTGAGGGCACAGTTATAAAGTGAGATACGATGCACTCATTTCTGAAAGCGAGTTTCAAGGACAGGGAACTGGGGTATAGTGTATGCTGCCATTTATATAAAATGTGCAGGTATGAGAGGATTACCCTGGGTTACACAAAATGCATACACATGTTGCTGTGTGTGCACATAGAAGGTGCCTAATAGAATATTCACCCAGTGTGCCTGGAAGGCAGGATTTCGGCTCCTGTTTCACTTTTGTTTTTGTTGTTGTTGTTTGAATGTTTTATGCTGAGCTTGATTCAACAGCTTGGGAATTAAGTGCTTGGGCTCCCAGGACAGGGCATCTCAGCTCTGTCCATCATTAATTTGACAATCTTGAGCAAGTAGTTTTAACCTTGCAGGCCTAGTTTACTCATTTGCAAAGTAGGTATAAGCTCTTCCACCACAGAGATAAATGAGAATCAAAATAGGTAGCCCACATAACAGCCTCAGCCGAAGTCTGCAGGCTACATAGGGTCTCTGTTGCATACTTTTCTTTGTTACAGCTTAAGAAAGACAGCCAGGTGCGGTTTAACTGTCTCGCACAGTTGTGAGAAACACATTGTCAGGTGATTCTGTCATTGTGTGAACATCATGACGCATACCTGCACAAATTTAAATGGCTACAATGACACTGGGTGGTATTATCTAGTGGAACCACAATGATATGTGTGAGCCATTGTTGACAAAAAAAAATACAGCGTATGACTGTAGCAACCAATTTCATGACTGTCATTTCACTGACACCCCCCCCAACACATACACATACATTGCTCTTTTTTAAAAATAAGCTAGAGTGGCTCTCTGCTGACTACTGGACTTGTATTCACATCAAACACCTTAAATTTCCCACTACATGGGGCACAAAGATGGCCCGTCTCATGTCACCCACTGTAAGAGCCCGCTCCACGAGATGTTCCCTCATTCTTACATTCCTCACTTGCACTTCCCTGCAAACTGTGCTGCTTTTTCAGGGTTCATCTCAGAACTCGCTTCTGGGAGCCTCGGCCTGTGCACAGCTAGCCCTTTCCCCAGGACCGCGCCTCTGCACCAAGTGCATACACCCCTGCACATCTTCCCCCAGCTTCATCGTGAGCCAAATAAGAGGAAGTCCTGTCAGCAGCCCTTCCCCAGCTAGCCATGCAATCCTTCCTCAGGCCAGAGGAGAAGGTAGGAAGGGTGCTTTTGTAGTTTAAGGACATAACGTTCCCACAGGGGAGCTGGGGTGAGAAGGGACAGGTGGAGGCTTCAGAGACGAGGTGACAGACATATGCACCACTTCTAAAACAACACATGGACTCTGTTCCCTGGGAAAAGCTGGGATAACCTTATGTAAAGTGGGCAAGACAAATATTGAAATGTGATTATATTTATCCTCAGCAATGCCCATTAAGCTTTGTTTAAATAGGGCACTTTGTGGTTGTCACAAATCAGATTACAACTGAAAAAGTCCACCATTATTACATTCTCCCTTCAATAAGAACATTTAATGAGCTATTTCAAACTCTTTAGACCAGAGATAAGCAACCTTTTTTCATAAAGGGGCAGAGAGTAAATATTTTAGCTTGGGCAGTCCACATCTGGTCCCTATTGCATATATTTCTTTTTTAAATAACACTTCAAATATACAAAATTCATTTATACCTCAAAGGTGATACAAAAACAAGCCGCCTAAATTTGGCAGACAATTAGGCAATTGATGGGATGATAGAGGGAAAGTCTCTTTTGTTAAGGTTTTAAACTATTCTTTCTTGCCACTAAGAACATGAAATATTGTGAAGATTGTAGTCAGTTATTAATTGTATTGCAATCCCTGGCACCAAGAACTTTAAATTAGGCTGCATGAGTACAGAATATCTTTGGTTTAAATCAGCCTAAAAATCACTTATTTACTTACTCAGGGGCTATATTCGGATCTGCTTCTGAGGGGAGACAGATGGTGAGTCCTTTCCTGACAAAACACCCAATTTCACCATCCAACCAAACCAACCCTGTTTTGACATCCTCATTATCTGCCCAGCTCTGATGGGCCCACTTGGAATTAATACTCAGGGACAGTTCCGGGCCTCAGTCATCTAAGTTGACTCAAATCACACCATCAATGCCTTATATTTACCTTCTATAAAGCTGCAAAGACAGCGTAGGTTTGGCCAAGTCTCACAGTGCTAGGAACCAGGCACAAACATCAGTGTAGCACATAAACGTACAGATTTTTGCAAAAAGACAAATGAGGATGATTATTTATTTCATCAAAAAAAAATTCAAAGTGAAATGTCTTTTCAAGTTCCACTTTTCTAGAGTTATGCAATTTATAAATAATGTTTACATATATAACTCATAAGGAAAGCATTCATATGCTGACAGAAAAAAAAAAAAGGCAACTAGCATTTGGTAAGCATCTGCATTTAGCCCGGTGCACCAAAAGGGTCATTCCCTTTTATCCTTTCCACAACTTGCAAGAAAGTAGCATCAGTCACACTTTACAGATGAGGAAACAGGCACCGGAAAGTGAAATAATTTGTCCTAGATCACAGAGCCATGATGCAGGGAAGCCATAGTGCAAACTCTGCCTGACCCAAAGCACATGATTTTGACCTTTCCTCTATATTCAGTGACCAGGACACACTGCACCTCCCCGACTTCCATCCTCACCTCCAGACCTAGATGGAGGAGGAGGATGACCAACGTCCAAATAATTAGGCAGGAGTGGCCTTACAGAAGATCGTCTTTAATTGGACCACCTCCTCGGACAGGCAAGTGGGGCATCCAAACTTCATTTGACTCCGGTGCTGGTGAGAGCTTACTTGCTTCCCATTAAAAATAAAGTTTAAAAAATACATTGAAGTAGGAAATGGTTGGTTTTTGTCCCTGAAAGGGAAAGAGGAGAGAAAAGAGAGCAAAGAACTTAAAAGGAGAGGAAGTGACAAAGGGGTGTCAGTTGACAAGTGGGGGCGCGGGATCCAAGCTCAGCAGCGGCCATGCAACGAACTCAAGAAGAGCAGCTCCTTCTTCTTGTCAGCGACTTTAACTTTTCTATTTCCCCCAAATCTTCAGTAAAGTGGGTCGCACATCCAAATGGTTGGGGAAAGTAGCTTTGTGGAAATTATAGACAAGTTATTATGGGCACAGTGGGACCACTGATAATCTGAACTAATTCACTGAGAGGAAGATTTTGAACTAGAAGGAAGAAGAAGGAGAAAAATAAGCTCACCAACAAGTCCCCAAATTCTAGGTAAGGCTTTGGATAAACCCCAACCAGGAATCAGCAAACCTTAGTATAACTGACTGCTATCATTTGAATTAGGAGCATTTTTAAAATTTTTAACTTAGATATAAAAATTGTACATATTTACAAGACAGCATGTTATATTTAGATAGATACACATAATGTGTAATGTTCAAATGTTCTACTCAAATAAATATTTCTTCGTGGTAAAAAAAACATTCAGAATTCATATATTGTCACGAGGCATTCTACATAATTTTGGGGCAAAATCATTTCATAATGAAAGTATGACTACAGCTGTCTAAGGCCCAGTGTCACCTTGCCCTCAAGCCAGCTATTTGCCTCCGGCCACAAGATGAGGCCTCAAGGCCCCGTGATACTGTGAGGCTCAAGGGAAAGAGTACATCAGCTGAAGACCGAGTAGTAATAAAAAAAGAGAAAGGTCTCACCTGGGAAAAGGACAAATTCTTTATTAGCCTGCTATTTCATTCCACCTACTATTGTAAGCATGCTCTCCTTACCACTCATATCAACATAAGATCCACAGTGACCTGAGGTCCTTGTCAACATAAGTCTCGAAGTCATCCATTGCTTCTTATGAGTATCGCATGTACCCAATAAATAGTGGCTACCTCAGAGGGTCTTTGTCTTTGCCCACTCTGAGGAGCTGACCTCCCAGTCTCCCATTAACTTTGAAATCATGCAAGTCTCCCTTGTCTTTATTTCCTTAGCCCTTTCTGTCCCCTTTCTAGGCAGTTGGAGAATTGACTGTCCAACAACATACAAGTATCATTCTAACTCAATAATAATAATTCTAAATGAGTTCATAGTTCTCACTTCTATTAGTTTTTTTTTTTAAAGCATTTTCCAGTGATCTTCAGCATCTGACCTCAAGTAAGATATTTTAAAATGAAACATACTTGCTTTACAGTTTTTATCTCTGCATTCAGGTTGCAGAAGTGAATGTGCCAGCCCATTAGAGATGTCCAAGTGCACAAAGAATGAAATGACACAACTGAGTTGTGTAAGGCTGAGCTCAAAAGATGGTATAGGGTAGAGGTTCCACTGACATCAGCATCAATTTGGCCTCAGTTTCAGTGAGCGTCATTTCTTCACCCGTAAGTTCAACCATTTTCAAGTTCAGAGAGGTATCAGGAGCACCAAGGCAGGCAGACAGACAGACAGATAGATAAGTGGATTCCTGCAGATGAGAAGGCATTTATTCACAGTTGAATTCCGACCTCTCTTGCATTTCCTTTTTAGCCTTTATGAAGGAATTTCCAGGAGCCATCCAGCTGCCTCCCAAATGACTGGGGAATAAATGCATAAGTCAAAAATAAAAATAATAACTGAATGAACAAATTAAAGTAGGAAATGTAAGCATATGATCTTTCCAGAAGTATCAGAGGAAAACATTTTACTTCTTGGTAAAACCAGGCAAACACAGAAGAAAATCTCCCAAAAATATGTATTTTGTGTGTGTTTGTGTGTAATGATTTGTTTACATTTTAGGAATCACAAACTCACTAAGAGGAGCGAAAAATCTAGAAGACTCTCTCTCTCTCTCTCTCTCTCTCTCTCTCTCTCTCTCTCTCTCCCTCTCTCTCCCTTTCTCTCTCCACCCCTCACACCATGCATTAAG